ATAAATATATATATATATATATATATATATATATATAAAACATTTTAAAAATGTCTTAAAATATATATATATATATATATATATATATATATATATATATATATATATATATATATATATATATATATATATATAAAATTCAAAATTCGCTAATGAAGATGAAACGGTGGAAATAATGATCTTGGATTTAAATTTTTTAAAATTTAACTTTTATCAATTTCCCAGAAGATAAATTTAGGGGATATTTTTTCGAAGCTTTGGTTTTTCGTTACGAACATAGAGAATGGTAGTATGACTCTAGATGCATTCCTGAAATTCCTGTGAAAGATCTAAAACAACAAAGAGCCAAAACAAGAAACATAGAAAAGACTGGTTATGAGGTTTAAATCAGTGAAGGCAAAACGTCATTGCTAAGTAAAAACCCCTGTTCTTGTCAGAATCAACTTTACATGGAATTCTGGGGAAACTTCCGTTTTCTCGAATTATTATCCGATTGCTCTTTTACCACTTTTTGGCAATGTACTAAAACCTGTAACAACTGAATTGATTCAGATAAACAATTTCCTTCAGATAAACAATATCGCTTCTCTAGTTCAGTGTGCTAATGATTAATAGTGAATTTGTCTATTGGACTTTAGATAAGGACAGCGAGGCTTGGCTGTGGCTTTAGATATCACAAAGGCGTTTGACAAGGTTTGGCACGCTGACCTTCTCCTCAAGCTCAAGGGCTACGTTTTCTGTAGCCGATTATTTGACGACACAGCCTTTCATAATAAATCGCGTAATGAAAATCGAGTTGAGCAGCTACTCTAGATCATTTCACTTTGATACATTCGATATATATATATATATATATATATATATATATATATATATGTGTGTGTGTATGTCTGTGTGTGTGTGTGTGTCTGTGTGTTATATATGTACACACACACATATATATAGTCATCCACACATAGAATATTTCGCTATATCACAGCTCCTCAGTGTGGCTAGACGTCCGATTTTCTTCAAGCCGGGATCGAAAACCGAACGATTTTACCTCAGTCTGATATCTTACTCCTAGGCCATCGTCGCAGAAAGGAAGGGAATTTTAATGTTTCTATCTATACGAAATGCGTCCGCGGCTCGGAGAACTCAATTCGTAATTGAAGAATAATGCTTAATAGCAATAGCAGCCGGTGTTTTTAAAATCTCCTTTCCCTAGAGAGATCAATCGGATTTCCGGGAGCATATATCTTAATCCACAGACAGACTGTTTCGCTGTATCACAGCTCCTCTGTGTGGTTAGACGTCCGATTGCTTCAAGCCGAGCTCGGGTTTCGAAACCCGACTGATTTGACATCAGTCAGATATCTTACCCCTTATATATATATATATATGTGTGTGTGTGTGTGTGTGTGTGTGTATATATATATATATATATATATATATATATATCTTTTTTCTTCTTCTAAAAGTGTTACATAGATACAGCTGTTGTTCTTCCTAACAAAGGCTAAGGACTCCAACACTGCCAGTGGGCTTACCAAGCGCGCCCGTATACAGACCCCAAGGTATTTGACAACCGCCCCCGTAGATGTGCTAGATAGACGCTGATCCCATGAAAGTATCCCGTCGCCATTTGACAGGACTTGTTTTGAATTCTAATGGGCGCCTAACTTTGTGCCGTAACCGGTTTAGTCACCAGTAATAACAGACTGACCACACAGACTTAGTGATGTCTCTTAGTGATGTATGTAACACATTTACAGCCGCCCATTTTCGACAATTTGGGAAGAAGAGAAAGGAGGAGGAGGAGAAGAAGAAGAGAGAAGAGAAGGAGGAGGAGGAGAAGAAGATGGTGGAGGAGGAGGAGGAGAAGAAATAGGAGAATGGGAGGAGGAGAAGGAGGGGAAGACAAAGAAGAAAAAGAAGCAGCAGCAGCATGAGGAGCAGAAGAAGAAAGAGGAGTGGAGGATTAGAAGAAGTAAGAGGAGGAGGAGAAGATGAAGAAGCTGTATCTACGTATGTAACAATTGAGAAGAAGAAGGGGGGGAAGAAAAGAAAGAGAAGATGAAAGAGGAGGAGGAGAAGAAGAAGCTGCATCTATGTATGCAACACATTGAGTAGGAGAGGGAGGAGAAGGAAGAGAAGAAGAAGAAGAAGAAGTATCTACGTATGTAACACTTTCAGAAGAAGAAGGGAAGGAAGAAAAGAAAGAGAAAAAGAAAGAGGAGGAGGAGCAGAAGAAGCTGCATCTATGTATGTAACACATTGAGAAGGAGAGGGAGGAGGGGGAAGGAAAGAAGAAGTAGGGAGCGACGAATAATAATAAGGACAACTAGAAAGATGTGGAGGAAAAGGAGGAGTTGAAGGAGGAGAAGAAGGAGATGAAGGAGGAGGCAGAAAATAGAAAGGAATAATGGAAGAAGAAGTAGGAGGGAAGAAGAAGTAGGAGAGAAGAAGAAGAAGAAGAAGAAGGAGTTGAAGGAGGAGAAGAAGGAGATGAAGGAGGAGG